ACACACACAAACCACACACAAACCACACACAAACCACACACAAACCACACACAACACACACAAACCACACACAACACACACAAACCACACACAACACACACAAACCACACACAACACACACAAACCACACACAACACACACAAACCACACACAACACACACAAACCACACACAACACACACAACACACACAAACCACACACAACACACACAAACCACACACAACACACACAAACCACACACAACACACACAAACCACACACAACACACACAAACCACACACAACACACACAAACCACACACAACACACACAAACCACACACAACACACACAAACCACACACAACACACACAAACCACACACAACACACACAAACCACACACAAACCACACAAACCACACAAACCACACACAACACACACAAACCACACACAACACACACAAACCACACACAACACACACAAACCACACACAACACACTCAAACCACACACAACACACACAACCACACACAACACACACAACCACACACAACACACACAAACCACACACACACACACACACCACACACACCACACACACCACACACACCACACACACCACACACACCACACACACCACACACACCACACACACCACACACACCACACACACCACACACACCACACACACCACACACACCACACACACCACACACACCACACACACCACACACACCACACACACACCACACACACACCACACACACCACACACACACACACACACACACACACACACACACACACACACACACACACACACACACACACACACACACACACACACACACACACACTCTCCCACACAAACTGTCACCCACAAATAAATACAATATTCTTTGTTATATTATGAAAGACGTGTATGTGTATTTATTTATTTATTTATTTATTTATTTATTTATTTATTTATTTTTTAACTCATTCCCTTTTTTTTTTTATATAATTACTGGTGATTGATTTGTTTTTTTATTTCTTTTTAAAAAATACAATTGTTAGATCATTATGTTAAAACTTTACAGACTACACATTCGTATATGTTTTTGTTTCAGGATGTTTTAGGATTGTCATTATTAGTAGTGGTATCATTTATCATTGTTATTGTTGCTATTATTGTTGTTATAATTACTATTAATATTATTATTATTATTATTATTACTATTAATATTACTATTATTATCATTACTATTACTATTAGTATTACTATTACTTTTACTATTACTTTTACGATTACTTTTATGATTACTAATACTATTATTATTATTATTATTATTATTATTATTATTATTATTATTGTGATTATTATTATTATGCAAAGCCTTAGAATAGTTTCAAAAGTAAAATATCCCAAACAGATAGAAGGACCACCACATTCACATCCGGTCCTTTTCATGCGAACAATTTTGTGTTTCAGGGATAAGACGTTGAGAGCTGCTGGGAGCTTTGTAAGCACAGCGTAACAATAACATTGTGACAAGGGCCCACATTATAGTGTATGACACAAAGTTATTATTCAGGTGATCACAGAGGTCGCCCAGGTGATGATGCAACACAGCGCTGCCAACAATCTCAGGGACGAAGAAGAGGAGTTCCTGCGGCAAATGCTGGAAGAGGAGGAAAGGCGCGACACTGTGTACTATGACCAGTATATTGAGCAGAAGTAAGTGTTAGCCTCTTTGGGATTGTCTTAAAGGAAGAGTTACTGGCTTTCCCTTGTAGATTCTGTTCTTGTTCATTGTGTGATTTTTCTCTTACTCTTTGTATTAATTATAAATGAGGTAAAAATAGTTTTGATGTTGCCCTATTTGTCCATGCTTATGTGTGTTTATTTATTAATTATTCTAATCACTTTTCTCTCTTTAACTGTTGTTGAGTATGTGTTGTTGGCAAAGCTTGTTTGGGTAGAATTTATACCTATCTTTATTTACTTCCAGATCAAGAAATAATACGACCTCTGACTTGACTGCCAGTATGCAGAAGATGGGCATGAAAGAGGATGTTGTTGCTAATGTAAGTTTTACATTTTATTATTGCTCAGTTGTTATTACTGTTGCTGTTATGAGTATTGTGATAATGGTATAATATTGTGTAAATGCATGCATGTATAATTTTTTTTATTGTTACTTGAGATAACTCAGGGAAATTCATGATTGACAATTTTTTATGGTCTCCCCCTTTCAGAGCAACTTAAATCCATATGCTGCGGAGTTTGTCCCTGGACAAGCTGTCACTAGTCCAGCGAATGCGCCCAGTCTTGTTCATAAAAAAAATACAGAGAAGAGTTCTTAGAAATTGGAAGATCTTTCCTCTTTGGTCTTGAAAACTCGGCAGCAGATAGCTTATGATATTATTTTCGAAAATATTATTCAGTGTACAGGAGATTTATACAAATTGTATCCGTGCTAAAGAAGGAAAACTGTTTTAATTATAGTTTAATTTTTTTCTTTATCTTTTCAGTCTTTCTTCT